GGGCTTGCAGGAGGCAGTCGATCAATGATTCTCTCTCATCATGGATGTATCTCTCGCTCCCTCTCCCTTTCTCTCTGAAATCAATAAAAATATTTTAAAAAAGAAAAGAAAAGAAAAAAGGCCTAGATTTCCGTCAGACTGAAGCAGTCTAGGATGCCTATGACTGGCTTACGCCGGTGATGCTCAATCCAGGCTGCCTGTTAGAATAACCGGGAAAGTTAAAAAAAAAAAAAAAAGAGAGAGACACTTGCAGACCTTATGGTCAGAGTGCTCTCCCTTTGCAACAATCCCTCCCCTCCTTGCGATCTTCCTTTTGAATGAAGTCACTCCTTATTAAACAACAAAACAAAACACTGAGGCACAGGCATCTCCCCAGACCAGTTAAGTCGATCCCTGGGAGTAGGACCTGAAGTACAGCCAGGGCTGAAAACGACCTACTCAGGACACCTCGAGAGGCTGGGGTGGGGTCGTTCCTTGTGAGACACAGGGGTGAAGGGCCATTACCCTGCACAAGTGCCTATTTAAGTATCTGGCACACAAAGAACCCGGTGAGATGGTTCATAAAAAGATAAATATGTGTTCCTTCAAAATATTAAAAATGCTCAACCTCATTCATAAGAGAGCTACTAATCAGAAACATACTAAGATGTTATTTCTTATCAGATTGGTAAAAGTCCCAAAGTTTGACAACACACTCGCTTGGCTAGGCTCTTGTGCATTACCAGCAATGGGAGTGTAACCTAGTACAAGACGGAAGGGAACTTGGAGTAATATCTACCAACCAGTACCCATATCAATATCTACTACTATTAGTCTACAAAGTCACATCTACCTACTAATAAAAATTACAAATGCATTAACCCTCTAGCCCAGCATTCCCACTTTTAGCAAGCTCTCCCACACCTAAACTTGCACAAGTTAAAATGACAGATATAAGGTTATTCTTGCAGCACTGTAACAGCTCAAAAATGTCCAGAAAGAGGGGACTAGTTGAAAAATTAATGACACTTGCAATATAGTGGGGTACAATGCAGCCATAAGAAAAACTAAAATACCCATATTCCCATATGGAGAGATCCTGAGGATATACTGAGTGAAAGACAAAAAAAGTAAAGTACAGAACAGTATATATCCTATGCTATCTTTTATATAATAAATGCATAATTGCTTATATTTGCAAAAAAAAAAAAAACAACCACACACACACAAGAAAAAAAACCCCCACACTGGAATGCTAAAAAAACAAACCATCTCCAAACACCCCAACACCAACAAGTAAGAATATTCAATAGACTATCAAAAACATGATGAGTTCCAGGGCAGCATGGCTCAGTGGTTGAGTGTCAACCTATGAAACAGGAGGTCACAGTTCGATTCCCAGTCATAGGGCATGCAGGAGGCAGCCAATCAATGATTCTCTCTCATCACTGATGTTTCTATCTCTCTCTCCTTTTCCCTTCCTCTCTCTGAAATCAATAAAAACATATATATATATATATAGTGCAGACTGATCTTCAAATTCCCTTTTGCCACTACATGGACATCTTTCAGTATTAGTACTTTACAGTATGTCGATACACATCCTTATGTGCACTCTTTATAAACTCTCTATAGCAGCAGTTCTCAAACTTTTTTAAGATAGAAACATCAATGATGAGAGAGAATCACGGGTCGGCTGCCTATTGCATGCTCCCTACTGGGGATCGAGCCCGCAACCCTGGCATATGCCCTTGACCGGAACTGAACCTGGGAACGTTCAGTCAGCAGGCCGATGCTCTATCCACTGAGCCAAACCAGCTAGGGCAAACTTTTTTTTTCTCAAGGCCTCTGATACTCTGGAAAATTATTGAGGACCCTGAAGAGTTTTTGTTTATATAGCTTATATAGCTTATTCATATAGCTCATCATTATTTACCATACTAGAAGTTTAAACTGAAAATTTTTAATTATTCATTTAAAAATAAATGTTTTTGTTATAACTGGAAAATAACTGTTTCAACCTATTTTTAGATAACTGTAGATATTCTTTGAAACTACACCAAAACTTGGTAACTGGTAGTTTCCTAAGGTTAGCTGTAATGGAGAATCTAAAACTGTATCAATGAACTTTTTTATTCTGTTACATAAAAATTCATTGGTTCATCTTGCACCTTGAATGAATCTTTTACCTGTATGTAATTTTATAATATCACATGTTGATCATTTAGAAAAGAGTGATTCACTGAATTATGTAGATCTTCCAAATAACACATTTCATTATAAGACTAGAGGCCCAGTGCACGAATTTGTACACCAGTGAGGTCCCTCAGCCTGGCCTGCGGGATTGAGCCAAAACCGGCTCTCCGACATCCCCCGAGGGGTCCCAGATTATGAGAGGGCGCAGGCCAGGCCAAGGGACCCCACCAGTGCACAATCAGGGCCCAGGGAGGGACGATCGGGGCCCAGGGAGGGACCGCGGGAGGGCTCCAGGGCATGTCTGGCCCATCTCGCTCAGTCCTGATCGGCTGGACCCCAGCAGCAAGCTAACCTACCAGTCGGAGCACCTGCCCCCTGGTGGCCAGTGCATGTCATAGCAACTGGTCGACCAGTCGACTGCCCCCTGGTGGTCAGTTCACATCATAGAGACTGGTTGACCAGTCGACTGCCTGCCCCCTGGTGGTCAGTGCACATCATAGCAAGCGGTTGAGCGGTCTTAGCATATCATTAGCATATTACGCTTTGATTTGGTTGAACAGCCAACTGGTCAACCAGACACTTAGCATATTAGGTTTTTATTATATAGGAGGATATCAAAATAGCACATTTATAAATATTACCACCAATCTCTACAAAATAAGATTATTTCCATGGGGGTGGGGGGACATATGTAATACTCTTTGTAATACTTTAAGCAATAAAACAAAATTAAAATTTAAAAAAAGTAAAAAAAAAAAAGATTATTTCCACAATCTATTTTTTGCTGGAAAGCTAAAATTTTATCTTTGGCAACAGATACTACCAGTTGTTTTCTTTGAAAGATTCCTTTATATGTTAACTGAATAACCATCATCTGTCAGTCGTAGTTTTTCATCATAGTTTCAAGTAAAAGTGATAGTCCATGATATAAGCACTAGTTCAGCTTCCAACTCAAACAACTGCCCCAGTGCTCTGCCTAGAGATAATCAATACACAACAGAAAAGTGCTATGCATTCTTCCCATTTCATCCCATAGGATATTAAACACATACACACAAGGGTCAAAAGTTAATAACATTAATAGTTTTTGCTACTTCACCAAGGACATTCTTAAGTGAAAGCCCTTTTTTTTAAACTATGGGTGCATAGCATGCATACATGGCTACCAGTATACTAGTAGTTAGGTGCCACAGCCTTGATTCATGCATTACTTTTGCACCATTCATGCAAAGAGTACAAATAACATCTTGGTATTGCATTAATATGCAAACAGTTTTAACCCTGGACCCCCAAAGGGGTATATCAGGAACATCTAGGGGACTACACTGTTCTATACCAGGATAGCTTCCCAAGAGTGAGATTTTACTGGGTCACTGCTATGTACATTTTAAATTCTAAGTTTGGTCAAAGCTCTCCTGAAATCTGAACCAATTTTCCTATTTCACTAGCAATTTAAAATGTAAATAATTCACTTTACAAATGCTGAATTTGGGAAGCACCAGAACATAACATATTACCATATTTGCCTATCTAAAACCAATGCTAAAATATAACCAAATGTTTTAAGGCAAAGTAAAATCCAAGTACCCAGAACATTTAGATGAGGTGGATATTTTTCTGTAAGAAAGTCAAACCTTAACTGTCAAATGCAAGTTCACTGAACAGAGACCTTTGTTTATTGTAGTCATCCATTGTTAAGAGGTATTTATGGTTGAATTTTAAAGTTTATGTCGCTTGCACACATCTTTGCTTATAGGATTGGTGGGCTCAACCAATATCTATAATAATAAAAGCATAATATGCTAATTAGACCGGACATCCTTCCAGATGTCCTTCCGGACGAAGCTGGGGCTGTGAGGGAAGCCTGGGTCCCAGGTGCCTGCCGGGGGCCGGAGGGAAGCCCAGGTCCCAGGTGCCGGGGGAAGGAAGGCCTACTCTTGCACAAATTTCATGCATTATATTAAAATTAGTTTTAATATAAAGTACCCAGTCTGAAAAATGTCAGGCTGCAAGTGTACAAAGAGGACCCTAATTTATTGGTTCGTGGTCCACTCCTTACAAACATCTTCTAAGCTGACCCTTACTGAAAACTTCACGCAGAATTACTAGAAGTGAACAGTGTAACATGTACTGTCAGAACTCAAATGCCAACTATGTCCATAAAAATGTCAAAGACAACTTTTTTGCCCCAAATGTCATCTGAAACAGGGAGAGTGGAGGAGGAACTTTCACTGCATCCATGGGAAAGGATTACTCCTGGTATAAAGTAAAACAAGGAGAAGCTGGGTATCCATTCACATGGAATGCTGCTTCCCTGCCTGATTTTCCCACAGCAGCTCCCAAGTGAGTACTCGTGCCTGAAAAGGGCAAGGATATGGGTGCCAACGGGGACCTGCGATTCTGACGCTTTGGGGGAGGACTGACAAAAGCTCTCTGTGGATACAGTAGCACAGGCTCTGTGCACCTGCGGGACCAGCCCAGCCTCAGGTTGGAGCAGAATCGTGGACGGCGGATCCTGGGAAAGCGCTGAAGTCCAACCTCCTCAGGAAACTGGGAGTGAAATGGCTTGTCCAAGGTCAACCGACAGCCGGTGAGAGTCAGACAAGAAATAAGCAACTCAAAAAAAATAAATAAATACTGAATAATGACGAACCGTCACCACGCAACTTTTTCTTCTGCAGAGAAACCAGGATAGCTACAGTAACAAGTTTTCAGCAGCACAGGAAGGAACCGACACCGGCGCGGTGGCTCCCGACCCTCATGCATGCCTCCCCCGAGCTGAACACCCAGGGGAAACGGGCCCAGAGCGCGGGGCAAGCACTCACCATGCTCCACAAACACATTGCAGGGGGGGCCCCCGTGCCTGGAGGACTCCTTCTTCCCTGCGACCTTGATGAAGTGCAGGGCAGGCAGGCTCGGCCTCCGCTGGTCCCCAAGCACTTTTCCAGGCTGCTGCCCCATAAAGCCAGGACGGGGCCCCTTTCCGGAGGAGGGTCCACCACCTTTCAGACGGGCCCGCGAGCTGAGGACAACGGCCCACGTCCACGTGGGACTTCACAGCCACCGCCTGTCCGCGGGCCGGGAACTGAGGTCAGTCACGGGGGGTACCCCTTCCCTCACCCCGCGAGGGAGCCGGCCGCCTGCAGGCTGACACGTGTCAGCAGGGGGTCCGACTATCTTCGCGGTTGGTCAATCCGAAGTCATGGCAATGCCCCCCAAGAAAGTTTCCTGATCGTTCAGTGCCTTTTTACTGGCCGAATAGCCGACGTCTTTCCAGGAGAAACACCTAAACCAGGAAGATTCGCAGGAGACGCGGGAAAAGGGTCGGTGACCCCCGAGTCGTTGCGATGGTGCCCACACATCAAAGAAATGTCCACCGTCTGTGGAGGCGTCCCCGGAACTTTCCCCGTGGAAGTCACCCACCCGCTCGTTTCTTCTTCATCTTCCGACCAATTTCCTGCCCAACCAGCTGCCGCGGCGGCTTGTCGACCCTGCTCCCCGGAAAAGGGCCCGCACGG